GCTTTTAATTTTTATAAATGGAATAATAGATCTCTCATGGGTATAATAAACTGATTTACCTGTGAAGCTTTTCATAAGATTTAGATATATTTTTCATTGTAAATCTTGACTTTAAAAAGAAAAACACAGTGATGTGTAAATAGGAAGTCTAAATCTTTTCATCTACAGGACCCTTCTAACTAAGGAGAGAAAGTGTTTTGGCTTTTAATTTTTATAAATGGAATAATAGATCTCTCATGGGTATAATAAACTGATTTACCTGTGAAGCTTTTCATAAGATTTAATTAAATTTCCCTTTCTCTTTGCAAAGCAGCTGAAATTTTGTTTGAAAGACAACACTTGCATTTTAAAATGTCACTTTTTCCCCTGGGTTGTAATTAAGTTTCATTTAGATGGCTCCTTTATATTTTCACTTTTCTTCTTGTGTTCATACTTACTGTTGGATTCTGCCTTGGATCCCTTAGCTTAAAATAACAAGTTTTATTCTTCCAGCTGCAGAAGCCCATGAATGGACTTTATTTTTCACTAAGTCCTTATCTTGGACCTAGCTATTCATTTCCAGACAACATTAACTTTCTGCCACAGCATCACCAAAGTCTAGGTCTTCATTCATGTAGATAAAGCCTGAACCCTAAATGTTCTCTATTCAGTTCAGAGAACTGCAACCTTCAATATTCTGGCCTTGAGAATTGTTATATTTTCTATGGATCATATTGCCTCTGAATTCCTCTTCTTAGCTTGTTGCTTTGGGCTGCCTCTTTAGTTCATTAATGTACATAATTCTGAAATAATTCAGCAAATTCTTTTGTTTGCTTCTCCAATTCAGTTCTCAGCTGCAGGCTGGATAGAGCAGATCAGCTCAATATTGACTTCAACCTGTGTGTCATAGTCATGCCTTGGTTTCATTCCTCAACTATCAGCTTCTCCCACAAAGACTTTCTTACTTAGTCCCGCCTTTCCTCTGTAGCATGAGAAACACTTCAGCAACCTGAAAAAATCCTTGTTTATCCTCTTTCAAATCCCAATTTACAGCTCATCTCTACCATGATCCTTCAAAACCCAGATTTTATGGTAAGGCAGATAATCTAAAACTATATTTTCCCACTTTTTTTTGTTCCATGTAAAGTAATGCAATCTACTAAAATTTGTGCAGCTAACAAAGCTTTCTTGTTCCATATCTCACATTATTCATTTGCTTGAGTATTTTATAACTGTTATTTTTCCTTTTTCTACCTGTGTTTTTAGACTGAAGTGCTTTGGGGGCACAGGAGGAAGGAGGTCCAAATATTTGGACCTCCAATATATGCCAATATTTGCTGCTATAGCTATGTCATTGAAACTGATACACATAGTATATTTGACCAGTCCATTCATGTTAGATAGATTTATGTGACTGTGAGGAAAATGAGGTAGAAATGAGTGGATTAAAAAAAGACCACTTGCTTCCCCCCCCCCCCCCTGTGTGTGTGTGTATATAATCTGTGCTGGGAACTGCACCTTTAGGAGGTTTAGCATTTTGTATTGTACAGAGGCTAAAATTATTCAATACTGGCTAGTTAAAATATAGTCTTCTGTGGTTGCCTAACATTGAAAATAGGAGAACTATTGTTGAGTCACATTATCTCTCTGAATACCAGCTCTTTATTTACACACTGGGATTTGTAAATGTTATAAATGTATGAAGGTTTATAAATGCTTTGAGGGTGTTCTCTTTTGATGTGTATATATGACATAATCCTTGGGACAACAATGCCTTGTCTCAGTCAGGACATCGACATACTCTTGGAATATAAATAGCAAGTAAATAATTGTGCCACTAGTGTATGCTTGACAAAACTCTTAATGACCATCTGAACATCCTCAGACATATCCCAGAGCAGTAATAAATATCTGAAATGTGATGAGCTTGAAAACATTTTAGCAAGTCTGTTGCATCAGGAGTGAGTTTCTTCCCTAGAATGCAACTTGGAGAGTTAATATACATAATGTATATATTAATATAATATTTTATATAATATGTATGTGTGTGTATATCTATATAGATAGGTTTCTGAGCAGTTTTGTTCTGAATAATAACCCTCATTATACCCAAATGTTATTTTGCTTGCTATTTTGTTTGCTGTGGTGGCCGTCTGGCTTTACAATACAAAGGTCATCTTTTGATTCTGTGCTGAATAGCTAATATAATCTCTATTCAGAGGAACGCTATACTTTTTGTTTAGTTAGCACCAGATTGTGCTTTGGTGCCATTTTCTCACTGGGAATTACATGTTTCTCCATCAACTGTCCTTTTGAATCTCATCCATTTTCCCCAAGAGGAAATGACACATCACCTAAATAAGTGTGGCAGGAGTGAGGTGTTGGGTAATGCCTGATTAAGGTCTGATTTCCTTTACTTTGTGTAGTGACATATGGTGAGAAAAGTTCACTCAACTCCTTAACTGCAGGTGTGGTGCGCTCTTCCATTCTGTGTGGTTTGCATTATTGAGATGGGGGTATATCAGTCTTTAACTAAACTCCTCCCTTGCTGGAAGAAGGCCAACTTGCACAAGTGAGGAATCTGATCTTTTATTCCTCATTATTGCATCTGATTCTTCAGTGTCACAGGCTTTCTATAGGTACATGTAAATCTGATGGCTGAACTAGGGTAAAGTACTTAGTGTCACCAAATCCTTAATTTCACAGAGCTTGACAAAAAAAATCTAAATATTTTAACGGACATGCACTTGGACTGAGAGAATTAAAGGGCTGGTTTAGGCTGAGATTCATAATGATCTGTATAAAACCTATTTGGTAGCAGGGAAAAGATCCAGGTAAAAATTGAAACCTTAAATGTATATCATCAGCCACTCTTATTAACCGTAAGAAACTAACAGAAAGCTGTTAAATCACTGACCACTGGAAAAAAAAAAAAAAAATTAGTGATCTGTCTGGCACCAGCTGAAACACATTTCTGTGTGAAAGGTGATTGACACCCATTCAGGGAGCGGAGACACTCTCTACTTTAAGTAGATAAAGAAAGGTTATCTCTCTTCATCAGGATACTTCCAATTCAGTGATTTTTTTTTTTTTTTTAAGATAAGATAATCTTCAAAATGGTTTTAAAGATTTAGCCTCCATCCTTGAAAATTATGTGGGTGAGCCATTTGACTACAAAATGAGACAATGCAGAGGGAAATGAAGATTATAATCACTTATATTTAGGCAGCTGATGAATCAAACTAGTCAAGCAGTCTAGTCCTTGAAGCATGCTTTTAACAAACTAATCACAAGGAAACTGGAATTGAGTGCAGCAGTTTTATTGAAAAAGTCCACAGCTGTGTGCAATTCCTTTATTAAAATGTTTTCAAATACATTGGACAAGGAGCAATTGATGATCTGGAGTTATTCCTTTTTTATACATTTTTATTTCCAAAACTATACAAACATTGGAAAACTTTCCTTTTCCTCCATTTTAGCTATTAATAATTCTGTAATGATAAGTTATATATCTCCCTTTTCAATCTGCAAGCCCACTTTTCTGGAGGTGACATTTTACATCTTTGACAATTAAAAAAAAGGTCAGTCATATTTACATGTGCTTAAGGTTGCATAATTGAGCATCATACAGGTTCTGAAAACCAGCAGATAAATGGTTTTCAAGATTCACCCAGGTGGGTTGAAGGTTTTAAATACACGTAAACTGCATACATGTGATTTAGTAGCCAAGACACCCTTTGTTCCCTTTTATTTTCAAGGCTATCTATAAACTGTGTGCTAGCCAAGGTAAAGGCTTATTTTAGTAAAGGTACTCACCGAGTGACAAGCAGCACTGACAACAACTATTGCTGATCAAAGACATGAATGGGCAGAGAATTGTGTGTGTATATATAATACAAAATCTAATGTTTCAAAATGAACTTGAAGCTTTTATGTAAAAATTATGTCTAGAATAAAAGCTATTTCCTGGACTTCATTAAAGAATTAAAAAAAACCCCACAAACACTTATGTAAGGAAAAAAGTAGAGCTCAACATGGGAAAAGAACAATAGAAGCACATGGATTAAATTCGGAAGCTGATCTTGCAATGTATAATTACTGGAAATTCAGTTGAAATATAGCAACATTATGAATGGAAAATGAAGGCTACAACTGCAGCAGACACATACAGTATACTTTATGAGCTATTATATTGTCCATACAGATTTGTCTACATGTTATTTATTTGAATCCTTAAGGCTTCTCTAACGTCTTACATGAAAGTGCTGTCTGCTTGGATCTTCCATGCATGAGGGAAAGGGGTAATTTTTCAAGGAAAAAAAAATTTGTCCACATTTCAATTACAATAGCACATCCAGAGACATAAAATAAAAGACAAAACTTTATGGTACCTTTGTTTCATTTATTTTGGCCCCCAAAAGATGCATGCACTAGACTTTATGTACTACAAGGTATTGAAATATTTACAGCATTATACATGTGCTCTTAAAGGGATGGCAAAGGGAAAGGTCTATTTTTATCTTGGTGGGAGTAGAAGTTACTTTCCTAGCTTAATAATACCTTTTCAAAGTGAGAGATGACTCTTCCAAAAAGAAAAGCCCACAGAGAATAAAGCTATAGCATAATTATAGCCAATGTTAACAAACTGTACACCGCTTTACCTGGGAATTCTCCTGTCTCTCACTCTTGTTTGAAATAGCAGTAATCAACTATTAAGTGATGTTGCCATGTTCCCCTTGTCCTGTCTGCTCTGTTTCTCTCTATTCCAGCAGGTATAGCTGTATATTACCTGTTTATGTGATTTTTATTTCAAATTATTTTGGCATGTTGAACAGACATTTAATTCACAATAACCTGATGGTGATTTTTGGACAAATGATATGATTGATCTTTACCGGGTTATGGCACTAAAGAATTCAGACCACTATAAAGCGTGTCATAAATACTTCAAGTGGACTTACGAAACCATCTCTCTAAGAAATTCAGTGAGTAAGGCTCATATCACTGATTTCCTTCTGCTTTTAAAGGTAAAGATATGATACCCAATACACCAGGTTAAACAAACAGAAGGCAGTTGGGAAGAAGATGCGGGCATAGGAGTCCATTTTGGCAATGCGGATATGTATTCTTCCATGCCTCCATGCTCCCGTTCGACAATCCTCAAAGCAGCAAAAAAAACTGGCACAGTCCTTGCCATCAAGACACTCATACCCATATTCTTCATCCCTTTCTTGGAGGTGTGTAGCATTGTTCATTTGAATAGTAGCTGATCGAGGCCGGATGTCAATTGTAGGTGCCTAAGGTGGAGTGGCAAAAAAAGAAAAAGATGGCAGGAGGGAGAGACTCTGTTATTATCACCAGACCAACAGGGAGATAGAGACTAACGGTCAACATGTGAATGATGGTTCTGCATGGGGCACATGGGAAATTGCTGAGGAGTTCTAATGGTAATATAACCTTGAACTTATTAAAATCAATTGCATCATACACTTTAACTTTACAGGAAAGCAGCACAAATCAATATTAAGTTAACGGCTGTGGACAATTAGCTTTAAAGCCAAACTAAGTAAACATTAGAGGTTAAAGGAAACATTCAGGAATGTATTTGATGGTATTTTGAATTTCTTTTGTGTTTTATGTTTTACATAGCTGCTTAATATCTGAAGGTAATTTGTGTATTGCACATGGAAGGAACTGAAATAATCAATTGGAAATGCAGGATTTTAATATAGGGCTGGTTCGTGTTGAGACAGGAGCAAATATATGCAGGAAAAAAGGCAAACCCTGGGTCTTTCGAATAAGGTTAGGAGAGTCTCTATAAGACTCTCAAATTGTTTGAATATATGCAGTTCACTATCTACTAATGTTCACCAGCTAGAAGGTTCAACAGGTTCCAAATTTTAGATAGTAGCTGTACATACATATACACATATATATTTGGAATGAATTGGGCAAATTAAGTATTTAAAACGCATTTGAGCACTTGGCGAACACTAAGATGACAGGCGTTGAAATTTCCTGCTGATAGTTATTAGGGTAATTTAACAACAATTCCATTCCATAAGTATGTAAATTTCTTGGCCTTTCTTTTATGTGGTTTCTTTTTTTCTTTATGTGGTTTGGTTTTTTGATGAAATCTCTGCATTTCTGAATGAAGATAAGGTTTAGATGTAAAACACAGATATATTTGCTAATTTGCTAAGAGTGTGTTGATCCAGTGACAGGACTAAATATATATATATATATACATCTTAAACCCTTTCAAAACTCTGACTTTTTTTTGCATAAGGAACAGCATTTGAGTAATTGATGACATTGAATTTTGTTCAGGTCAACATCAGAACAGATTTGGTTTTATAATTTGGAGCGAAATCACAAAGGTTAAAAAGGGCGGGTCAGAGTTGAGTTCTGAAAGGGTGTATTGCAGGTTTCTGGTGTAGCTGGTGCTATTGGATCCCATGGCAAATTGAGACAGAGAGGAGCAGAAATGTTTTAACATTAAACTCTCTTAATTCATGCGATCCAATAATGTTGGTCGCTCTTGAACTTACATAAGTTCAGAACCATAGTGAATCATTATTTGGGCTGCTGAATCAACTCTACAAATTGTTTAGAAATATGTAACCATTCTACTTAATTAGGAAGTTACCTTGAGTAGAATGCTTAGATGTCTCATTAAAAAAACCCCAAAACCAACAAAACACCACTCTCATATAAGCTCTAATAGTTAAATTCAGCAGTCGCATGCAGTGAATTTCCATTCCAAAAAACTTTATACCTTGAAGGAAAACATCCGAAGAAGCTTTCATTTTGTAGACAGAAAAGAGAATCAGAGGGTTTTGTTTTAAATTAAAGAAAGAAAAGAAAGAAAGAGACAAAAATAATGTAAATTAAAAATATGTTTCTAAAACATAGTAAGTCAAAAAGAACTAAATTTCTAGAAAGGTTGGGATAATAGCAATTTAAACAAGTATCTGTAATATAACCCCCCCGTATTTCTCATTTGTCACTGTCTTCTAACTACACCTGGGCCAAAGACATAAGATATCAAACTCCATTTAGATCTTTTCATATTCCCAGGGGATTCCAATCTTTTATGTTGAACTGTTTTGAAAGAGAGACCATTCACAGTTTATAAAAACACTTTTTAGAAAAAAAATCTTTTTACCTGCAGACTGGGTCCTGAACACTCTACTTTTAAGTTTTTTAGACTCTGTGATTAGGATCCAGGCAATCATTTATAGTTTTGTTGGTCCCCAAATGCTCACAGACAAGTAATGGAAAGAACAAGTAATCTGCCCTTATATGGACATCTTTGAGTGAGACAACTAAATTTGAGGTGGTTAGTCTGTGCTTCTTTAATTGACTGTGAAAGACACACATGCGCATAGACAGCCTTTTATTTCGGCCTAAGACAGGCCAGGACGACGCATCACCCTCTGGAAGGGCCTCTTTCTTTCTTTTGACCAATGAGGGGCCTATGATCAAATCCCACTTTAGCATACCTAAAGTTAGGTGAGAATTCTTCCTCTATAGTCCTACAGATGTTTTTCTGGCTGTTTATCCGCTACAGAGTACATCTATTTTATTTATTTTTTTTTTTAGAGTCTACTTCTCAAAGTCCTTGAAGATTTTAACAGAGCAAATCCAAGTGACTTCATTTTTTCCTAGATGCCTGAAATGAATTTGAAGATACTCTCTATAAATGTAAAACACTTGTTCTTCACATTTTTCACAGGCATATTTGGTTTTTTTTGTAGACGACTAGGCTACTTTTTCCTCTAGGATTTTACATTAATTCTTTTCACCTCAGAGATTCTAGACAACAGACTTTTCAGTTCAGTTGCAAAAGGCAAGGAGAAATCTGTCCTGGGCAAAATAAGCAACAAACTTTTTCCCTATGTGGGCAAAACCCCAAAGCCCTACTGAGGGTATTTCCAGGATTTTTTTATTGTGGCTATTATATACCTTTTTTTTATTATTGTGTAGCATGCATCCATAAGTAATATTGTAAACTGCTAGCCAAATCACTTTCTAAGGGAGAGAAGTAGATAAAGGAGGTAAGAAATACAAGAAAAGAAGATAAGGAAACAATGAAAAGGAAACAGATGCTTAAGGGGAAATTAGAAAAAGCACACTGTAGTTTGAATATAAAAGTTTAACTGTAGTCCTGATAATACGAAAAACAGTCATATCAATAATACGGACATAAGTTAATGGCAGAGAACGTTGCTAAAACTAAGACAGAGAAACTGACAGTTCTTCCATAAAGGTCACAGCAGGAGCTCTATCTATAACATAAATAATGGTTTTGGTGATAGCTGTGATTTGCAGAACACTGTGGTTAAAAAGATTCTTATTCTAAGAAATTAGTTTCTCTGGCATCCAGACAACCATAATATATGAGCTTTTCATTCTCAAGGTGAATGTTTGCATTCCTATTAATAAAAAGAAAGAGTATATAGGTAATAGCAAAGTCTGAAAAGAAAGTACAAGCATAAAGAGGGATTTAAATGCTCTCTCAGAAAGCCTAATTGAATTTTAGACCCTGCTGGTAAAAAGATACATACTGGATTTTTCTTCTTTTAGACAACCATAATATATGAGCTTTTCATTCTCAAGGTGAATGTTTGCATTCCTATTAATAAAAAGAAAGAGTATATAGGTAATAGCAAAGTCTGAAAAGAAAGTACAAGCATAAAGAGGGATTTAAATGCTCTCTCAGAAAGCCTAATTGAATTTTAGACCCTGCTGGTAAAAAGATACATACTGGATTTTTCTTCTTTTTGTCTTTATCCTTGCTTGGCTTTCTGTTGCTGACAAAGTAGTGCAAAGTTCCGTATTCCACCAGTGCAGAGAAAACAAAAATAAAGCAGACTGAGACAAAAAGATCCATTGCTGTCACATAGGAGACTTTGGGAAGAGATTTACGGGCAATTGTACTTAAGGTGGTCATTGTCAGGACAGTTGTAATACCTGGTAGATAGATAGAAAACAACAGAAATATTATTACTTCAAGTAACAAACTGATTTTGCCAGTTCTCTTTCTATGACTGGTTTTGAAGTATGCCTGGAGTTCAAACATATAGCAAAGATATTAAACAGCACATCCCAGCAGTGAAACGTGGATTCAATGAGAGCTTCTAGGATTAACATGGGGTATGAAACATTCTTGCATGGTCACTGCAAGTGCTGCTCTGCAGAGTACTTTGGTTAGATGGATTCTGATTCTAAGAAATCTAATTTAGTTTTTTAGTTTTGTAGTTTACTTCTAGGGGACCTTTATTTACTTTTAATTGAGAAATTTAGTTTTAGTGTTTGTGTGCTCAAACCCTTAAACAGAGCTAGATAGAAGAGAACTTGTGTCAGAGTGAGAAAATCATGGTGGAGAATAAAAATCACTTTACTCCATTCTTCAAAGTAACCTCAAGGCCAATCTCAAACTTTTTGTGCTGTTGGGGTAAGTTTTGCTTATTTTTAGTTTCAGAGTAACGATACCAGTGTCACTAAGAGACACACTTGCAGCCATTATATAAGGTAGAAATTAATGAAAATTCTTAAGAAAGCACGTAATCCAGCAGGATTACTCCATCTAGTCCACCGCCCCCTACAGTGAGCAGGGACATCTTCAACTAGATCAAGTTGCTCAGAGCCCCGTCCAACCTGACCTTGAAGGTTTCCAGGGATGGGGCATCCACCAACTCTCTGGGCAACCTGTGTTTTACCACCCTCAGCGTAAAAAATTTCTTCCTTATAGCTAGGCTAAATCTTCCCTCTTTTAGTTTATAACTATTACCCCTTGTCCTGTCAGTACAGGCCCTGCTAAAAAGTTTGTCCCCATCTTCCTTCTCAGCCCCCTTTAAGTATTGAAAGGCTGCAATAAGGTCTCCCCGAAGCCTTCTCCTCTCCAGGTTGAATACCCCCAACTCTCTCAGCCTTTCTTCACAGGAGAGGTGTTCCATCCCCCTGATCATTTTCATGGCCCTCTTCTGGAGGGTCTCGCCAGAGCAGAGGGGCAGGATCACCTCCCTCGACCTGCTGGCCACGCTTCTTTTGATGCAGCCCCGGATACGGTTGGTTTATAAATGTGGTTTAGGCTGTGTTATTCCTTGGAAATGACTACATTCCTCTAAATGAGGAGAGCTCATGTGAAATTGTCTCTCCTCTTACATTTACAAACTGGTGATCCGCAGAGATGTCAATTAAACATCATAATGCTTGAATAAAAGCAGGAAGAAAAAAGAACTCACCCAGTGATGTTCTGGCTGGAACTGCATCCTTATTAATCCAGAAAGAGACCCAGGACAACACAACAATAAGTGTGCAGGGAATGTAGGTCTGAATAGTGAAATAACCCATTCTCCTGCTCAGGTTAAAGTAAACAGACATGACTACATAGTCTCCTGTAAAATAAAAGCACACTGAGATAGAATAATATGTTAAAAACCCAACATAGAATTTCTATATAATAGCTAGGGTTTTCCTATTCTGTGTCTGGGGTATATATATTAAACGGATTCACCAGATATACTGATGGCAAATACATGCATACCTCTTCAACACTGGTATAGCTCAAAAACTGGTGGATTTTCCACACTATGAAAGTAAACAGTCTTGCAGGCTCACTTAGGTAATTTGTACTTTAAGATTTCAAGGGTAACATCCCTTACGTAGCACAGCAGGCTTCTTTCTGCCCAAGTCATTCCTCATAACTTGCAAATGCCTGGTACTTACAGCAACTGAGTGTTAGTGGTCCAGCAAACCTCCAGTCACTGTGCTGTCCCTGTTAGCATGCTCTCAGCTCTGCTCTCAAATAATGCATGCTTTCAGATGTACTTTCTAAATTACTCATGTTCTCAACTATTCTTCAGGGCTAGGCTGTGTCAATAATTAATTTTTTATTTGCCTGCGTATCTTCTGTTGTATTATCTCATCTAAAAGGATTTGAACCCACATCTCCTAAGTGCCCAAAAAAGCCAGACTACATGTTACTCTGGTGTGCGTAACACATCATCCCCATTCAATAGTTTTGTGATTCTTTTTCCAGGTTTTTTCCCCTCTCAAACTATTAAGTAGATTCCATCTGGATTCAGGAACACAGCAAAGCTTCAGTTTTTGATGTATTTTTTCTAAACTAAAAGAACCCCTAGTTCTCATCTTTACTTCAGATTACAACACTCCTGGGAAATCTTGATTGCAAAAGAACTACAGAACCCCAGGCTACAAAAGACTTCATTGCAATTCAGTGAAATGCAGTCCAGAGAAGTCTCAAACTGAAACAGAATAGGATTTGCAAATTTAGAATGAGATAGTTTTCTAGCATTATCAAAGAGGCTCTGTGGCTAATGTGTATTCTGCTTAGATCAGTACCTTTAGTTAACACTGAGTTCTCTGTTTTCAGGCATAATTAAAATTTTAATCTCCCCCAGAATAATCCCTTTGAACCTGGTCACAGAAGAAACTTCAGAGATCATTTTTCGGCTGGTGCTTCTTTGTTATATTATTTTTTTCAATGTGAATGTCCATATCCCAGGGATTAACTGGTTTGAATTTAATTATATTATGTTATAATTAAACTAAAAACTTAAAAAACAATTATATATGTGTGGTTTACAAGGAGATACGGCTGAATATGAACAACCAACTTTAATAACTACAGTCTGATTATCCCCTTAATTCACAGACAAGTTTGCATTATATGTGTGTGTCCTTCATATACCAAAAAAACCCCAAACCCAAAAAACCACCACTGATCAGGAAGACTGTAAAACTGAAGCCATAAAATTACGGTATGACTCATTCTTCATCTCTCTGGTTCACGTATTAACTTCCTGAGATGTGATTATTTTGTCAATTTTGGGAATTGACTTTTTTATTCATTCACCTTCATATATGCTATTAATAGCATTGGTATTTCAAAATTGAAATATATACTATGGTAGAGACTACTTTAAGCAGTAGCTCTATTACTTCCATGCAAACAGTTTTAAAGAGAAGGCTGTTTTCATGCTCAGTGTTGTTAATTACTTTAATGAGACAAAAAATTACCAGAAGAGATGAAATATAAACCTGAACATAGATGAGAACATAAAAAGGTACAAAAGATTAACTCAGAAGTGAAATTTCAGATGTTTTTTCTTACTGTTATTGCTTCTTTTTCTGAAGCTGCAACTGCTATAGACTCTTTTGGAGTAGCTGAACAGATATATTAGATCCTAGGTAACTACTTTCTCCATATTTTTTGTCCTGTACTTGGACAGGTCTTTTTGCCCAACTGTTTTGGTAGTTCTAGCACTCTTGCCTTGTAGGATCTTTTATTCAAAAGAACAGAAAATATCAGAAACTAGTACACAAGCCAGCACTTTCTTACAGGTATTGGAGTCAAATCCAAAACTCAACACCTGTGCTGAGAAAACAAAAAGATAAATCCAGATGACCTAGACAAAGGCATACTGCAAAGACTTCATGCATTGTCCTTGTTCAATAACAGTGTATGCAAACCAAGCCAAATGGTGGTGTGGATAACATGAATATACATATATGTGTATATAGGGAGAGCAGCCTCAGTCCTTCCATTTTATAGACCGTTTCCACATATATTGTTTTATTGTGTTTTTTGTAGAAAGCTTGGTGGTGATCATCTGGTCTCCATGGAGACTTTTTTGGACTTTTCTCTTAATGCAAGGAGTGTTTTTTATGCAGAAAACTATTACAGTAATATTTTTACAATATTTTATGCATCATTTAAAAATATAAATATTTTTTGTTCAAAATGTAGTGCATAAGAGCTTTTAAAATGTTAAGTAACATAAGGGCCTCGGTCTGTTCAGCAGCAATGAAACACTACTTTGAATTCTCTGTCACCTCAAAGATACACTTCAGAGGACAACCCATTTCCATAGAGCAACAGCGACGTCCTGTCACAGAGCATTTGCTACACAAACTGGAGACATTCCATGTGGAAGTGTTTTATATCTAATTGAACACAATTCCCTCTGCCTTTTTTTTTTTTTAATACTGGGCTTCATAACCAATTATGTTTAGAAGTAGCATATCTCTGCTAACATGTTCCAAAAAGTTAAAAACTGATGTAATTGCTCTAGATTTTTTCAACCCTCACAAATGTTATTGCACCTTCCTTTATGCAAAGACTTTCTTTCCTAATGGATATATGTGTAAAAAAAATCCAAACCACTCCAGAATTATATCCATAGGAAACAGTGTATCAGCTCCTGATATTTATAGACAAAGTCCACAGAATTATTCTGGCAGACCTTATTTCTCATGCCTTGTAGAATTGGAAACATTTTACTGAAAGCTCAAGGAAATAAGAGACCATATATACTTTATATGGGCTTTAAAGTTTCTACTAATGGAGAAGTTAAACCAGAGGAAGTAAAAACTTCAGTGTCAACTATAACTTGCCAGGCAGTGTGGAGTTGACCAGTCTGAAGAATCATTCCAGGATGCATAAATTCTTTTAAATTACACGTTGCTTTCTAATTTGAAAGCCTGCTGGTGCTGCAGACACTGTTGCATTGTGGAGTAAATTCCACTATTTCAGAGAATCTTACTAAAGGAAGGAATAATGTTAATACCACAGAGAGGGGTCTTGTTTATTTCTTAGCTTGCTTGGTTGGGATTTTTGGGAAGTGGGATGTACTGATGATTTTTTTCAAGATAAGAGTGAGAATAATAACTATAAGTTAGGAAATACCAAGACAAGGCAGGCCAATAATTCCGTAATGTATTGAATATCTCTTCTAGCCTTGAAGTCATATGAACAATGTAAATAAAGCATTAAGGAAAACAGCACTAAGTGGTGGGATGATCCAGAGAAGCATCTTGCTGGTATTGCCTAGTTTACGTAAGTGATGTTGGAATGATATAATAGCAGGCCTTCTGAGATTTTGAATAAAAAAAGTACTCTGAGCATACAAATTCATGCAAGACCAAAGATGTGCAATTTAGGACCTAGTATCAGTTGTCATAACACGTACATCCAAAATGTAAAATGCATTAAGTCCTCTGTGGAACATGGGCTTGACAGTACTTTGCTTTAATCACACCTTTCATGATGGAATCTTGCCCCAGCCCTGGTTTTATCCACGTTTGTTTTTTCTGACTCTATTCATGGACTTCTCTGCTCTTCAGCTGGGACCAGCTTAAATACTCTGTTATTTTCAGATTATCTCTGTGCCTGAGGTGATTTTTCACTCCTGGTGTGATGCCTGCATGAAGCTGTTAAACTAAGACATTATTTTAGTAAAAAATGGCCAGACTCAATCCTTAGCACAGTGTCATTCATTAGCCCTCACTTGGCAAATTGATAATCTTTTCATTATTGCTTCATCCTCTTTCCCTGAGCTCTGGCTCTTGTTTATCCAATATTGTCTACTGCAGCAAGAAAGCCTCTCAGACTGCTGGATTGCTGTTTGGAGGGCTAATATACTTTTGGATTTTTCTAGAAATGAATGATAAAGCAACCTGGCAGTATCTTTGTAAGACAACATACTTAAGTACTTAACATTTGGTACCCTAATTAGAAGATTTTGGATTACTTAGCCTTTCACCAGAGACCTTACAGTCCTGCCGCCCATTCTAAGGTATATATAAGTATTACATATGTCTAGAAAATAATACCTAGAAAATTTTCAATTTTTAAAGAAATACAAAATTTCCCTGGAAAAAAATAATCTTGTTACATTGAAGAGCATAATAAGTCATCCTTAATATATTTAGACCTCATCTCTCTCTCTCTCTGTATGAATATATGTGTTTCTCCTATTCCTCTGTATTCATGTATGTTTGTATATATAGATATATAGGTAGACATAGTCTTCTTCGTCTGAAGATATGATAACCAGTTGATCAGTTTCTTCAGTGACATATATTTAAACCAGAATGCAGTCCCTCGGGAAAATGCTATCCATGTCATGTATATCCTCATGTAAAAATATCATGTTTTCTACTAAATGCATATTCCTGCCAATTATGTTTGGAAGATCATGAGACACAGGGCAGGGTTCTGACTTCAGCCAAAGCATCTTCATGTTGCTACTCTGAATGGGAAGTTGAAGATTTCTCTTTGTGGCAATAATCCCTGCTACACACAGAGAAAGTGCATGGGCCTTATGTCACTTCTAGAGTAGGAGATATTTTGAAAAGGAGATGCAGACCCAAAGGAAAGCTCCTCCTACCATACACTTGTGTGATATAGTAATTTGAATACCAGGATTCAGGCTCTGTTAGACAGTAAGGGAAGTGAATTCCTGATTTGAGGAACCATCTGTGCATATGTCCTGGCCTAAGTCCCAAAGGTTCAATAGAAGGAATTAGTCATGCCAGGGAAGCATAGCCAGGGGAAATGTACACTGCACTTAACTGATTTAATCAGCACAGT